CTCCATCTGGTAGCCTTCCTGCAAATCACTTCCCTAAGGAGGAGATAAGCTCTGCCCTGCCACGAGGGGCTGAGCCCTGCAAGTTCAGGCTGCTGCAGCTGGTGCCCACAGAGGGGAGGGGCAGAGGCCTGCCTCCCAGGGCCCAGGAATGGATGGAAAGGGCTGAGTGCCCTCTCAGTCTCTCTAATTAAAAACTGCCATATGCTTAGGGCAGGCTCACCAATGTGTTTTTTACTACAGGTCTGGGCTGCTTAGCTCATCTGCTTACAAGCAAAGTGCTCTTCAGCGTGCTTATTAAAAGCGCAGGTTTATGCTTGGGCCCATTCTGATTCTGTCGTTCTGGGGCCAGGCTGAGCAGGAACCTGCATTTATAATCAGCACTCCTGGAGGTTCTGAGGAGCCTGGTCCCCAGGCCACACTTTGAGAACCAGTAGCTTAACCCAATATTTTTCCAACTGGGGCCACTGGGTGCATTCCTGAGAGTTCTACAGAGAGAATTTTTACATTTTATACCTTTATTTTGATGATAATTTTTCAAATGTTAAGATCATTCTGGATCATTTGGATGACAATTTGATAACCAAACCAAACACTAAAGCGCAAGCCTTCCACTGAAGTGTTTACAATCAGGTTGTACTTTTAACTTTGTTACAGGCTGATGAGTCTTTACTCAGATCCAGACGGAATTTGAATGTTCACACCAAAATGAGGCCTGAATGGTATCTTTTCAGGACAGGAAGGAAAGGGAAGAGAAGGAAAGGAGAAGATTTTGACAAAGAACATCAATGTATTGTATTTGGGGCACCTATGGGATGTCCACTCGTCACTGGGGAAAAGGGTATGGAGCGCAGAAGAGACTTCTCCAAAACCAGCGAGCTGGGAGGTGCTACACAGACAGCGGTGGCTGAAAACAGAAATGAGGGACTGGAAGGAAGGTAGCAAGAGATTGGAAAGGAGGTCAGAGAGTAAGGAGAAACCCAGAAAAGAGAAACTTCAGAGAGATAAGGGAGGAAAATGTTCTGAGAAAAGAACAATGTCCGTGTGAGTGGGTACTGTCTCGGATTTTACTGTCAAATGAAATAAGTTACAAAACAGTCTGTTCAATATGCTATCACCTGTGCAATAAATTGTGTATGCCTGCACACTTCAAAAAATGTCTGAAAGGAACAAATACAGCAACCAAAGCAAAACAAAAGTCTGGGGTTATCTCTGAGAATTAGCAACAAGAGGGTACAATAGGGGAACCTTAACTTTTTATTTTGCACCATTTTGTACAGTTTAAATTTATTATTATGAACATATTACTTTCTCACTAATATTTTAAGAACTGGTCAGCAGTATGACATTACATTATCTGAGCGGACAAGGAAGCTGAGACTCAAATGAGGCCATTTGGGCAGCAAGAAGGTTGTCATTGGTGACTTTTACCAGAATGGTTTCAGGTAGGAATGTGGAAGCTGACCCAGCCCTAGCCTGAAACGCTGCTTCTCCAGCTTTAATATGCATGTACCAACCGCCTGGGGGTCTTCATTAAAATGCAGATTCTGACCCAGTAGGTCTGGGTGGAGTCTGAGATTTTTAACAGGCTCCCTCCCACATGATAACCACATGGCTGGTCCAGCACCACTGTTTTGAGTTGCAAGATCGTCAGAATACAGGAAATGGGAATGCGAAGAGACCACTATTTCCCCAAAAGTACTCCCTAGAAGACTAACCCCGAGGCATGCTCTAATAAAAAAGATTCACAATCAAATGGTTTGGTAAGTACCACACATCCCTCCTGACGCTACTACATTAAGTATTAGTGATTTCCTGAGGAAGTCTGCTGTCTTTTCACTCAGATGCTCCTAACAGTTAGAGCTAACCTTGCAGCAATGAAAACTTATCTTTATTGTCAGATTCTGAAGTTCATAGGGCCACCTGGAAGGTCTGAGGGAAGAGAATTACAGGGCAGCACGAGCTCAGGGGTGCACAGAGTCGGGAAACTGGAATACGACAAATTGCATTTTGTCTCCAGTACAACAGCAACAGAAGTCTCTGAAAGGCAAGAAATCTCCAAAATAAACCTTTTAGGGCATGTGCACCAGTCAAGCCTGATGCTCCTTTACAATACCTGCTACGATACTACCAGGTATTTGCTAAACCTTTTTCTAATGATTTATGGACCTTTCTAAAACTTAGCCCCGCATCAGCAGTAAGACTCCCAGCCACAGGAATGAGCATTCTTGTGAATACCTGAACTTGAATGTATCTATCAGTGGCTTCACTGAGCAAGAACAGGAAACACAGAAGCTAACTTGACCTCGCTGCCGAAAGGAGTTCTTCCTGCTTGACATGAGCATAATCCTACTGTCTACTGACAGTGATTAAAATCAACCTGGGGAGGGTGGGCTGCACTGATGGCCTCACCTGCTGAGATGGAACCTCAGAGCTCAAATAACCTGGTGGTGGCGCCGAGTCATCATCCGCCCAGGACCTCCAGTGCTTGGCTGCCCGGGAACGGCCTTGTAGACCAGTGATGGCGAGCCTATGACACGCTTGTCAGAGGTGACACGCAAACTCATTTTTTTGGTTGATTTTTCTTTGCTAAATGGCATTTAAATATATAAAATAAATATCAAAAATATAAATCTTTGTTTTACTATGGTTGAAAACATCAAAAAATTTCTATATGTGACACGGCACCAGAGTTAAGTTAGGGTTTTTCAAAATGCTGACACGCCGAGCTCAAAAGGTTCGCCATCACTGTTGTAGACTCTCTTCATAGGCACCGCACTGAGCAGCACGTTTCCGTGGGAGCCTGGATTTCAAAGGAAGCCTTGGTGCGGAAGAGAGCAGAGGCTATTCACCCTGCATGCCTTCGTCCTTTGAAAAGGCTGCCATCTCTCCTCCCTAATGTCTGAACTTGGCAGTAGAGGTTCAAGCCACATGGGGCAACTTGCACAGGATTAGAATGACACCAGAATTGGCCAGAAAGGATGGCCTGACACCTCACATTCACATGTGAGGTTTTCCATGGCCTTAGCTCTTCATTGGGTGTCTGGTCACTCAGTCAGTCCCAGCTCCCATTCTTGCCTCTCAGATTTACTAGGGAGGGAAACAGGCCCTCAGATTTATTTACTTTTAGGGATAAATATATTTGAACAGCACTGTCACGTGGTGTCTATTTCAGGGACACTAGTTAGGAAAACACATGCCTGTTACAGTCCAGTGACATGCACTCAAGCTGGACTGTGTCAGGATGGCAGGGTACCGCTGGTTGTTCGTGCTAATGCTGTTTCGTGAGGCTCCCATCACAGAGTGGTGGCAAAAGAAGCCAAATTAGTTTTAATAGTCACCTAACAAATGCACATTCCCTCTGTTAACTCTGTTATCAAATAACCTCCCTATCTACAATAAATATATTTTAAACTCACAGGGAAGAGGTATTTGGGAAATCAAGGAGTCACTTCTATTGGCCCTCACACGATGCCATGTGACTAAGCCCTCAGCCACCATGCAATTGCATGACTGTTTTACCGCATTCCTCTAGGTTTGCTTTATTATGTCCCTCTAGGTTTCTCCATTCCAATGTGCTAATTTTAAAGAATTTAGGAGCCAGCTTCCAACCTATAATGAGAAAGACTTTGCACTCTATTCTTATATGAAGCACTTTAATTGCTACTAACATCACTGAAGTCAGTGTATACACAGGAAGAAGGGTGTACCCTCGAAATCATTTATCCCCTAAAGGCAAAATACTTCTAAAGAAACAAAAAGCAGAGGAGATAAGTAGGAGAGGGGGATCATGAAAAATGTTGTGCTTTAGGGTTTGTTTTAAAGTGCTACCTGGGTGTTCTCCACCCAGGAGCTGGGAAGAGGTTCTCTACCTTCACTTGACTGCCCATTAACTAGACTGTCTAGGGTAGCGTGGGCAAACTACGGCCCGCGGGCCGGATCCGGCCCATTTGAAATGAATAAAACTAAAAAAAAAAAAAAAAAACCGTACCCTTTTATGTAATGATGTTTACTTTGAATTTATATTAGTTCACACAAACACCCCATCCATGCTTTTGTTCCGGCCCTCCGGTCCAGTTTAAGAACCCATTGTGGCCCTCGAGTCAAAAAGTTTGCCCACCCCTGGTCTAGGGCCTAATTTATTGATCTAATTCTGATTCCTCTGCTGAATTCTATAATGAAATCAGATGTGGTGGATGATTTTGGAAGAAGAATACCCTCAACACATACAATGTCTGGAACATAAAATAATGGCTTATCTTTTCCTGCATTTGAAAACATCCAGATTTCTCAGGGTAAACTATCATGGCCAAGTTAAAAGATTCTAAGTTATAAGTGACCTTAAAAATTATTTAGTGACCTTAGGTCTTGCTTAGAGACAAGAGAGACTCTGGATCCAACTCTGGTCCCTGTCTTCCCTGACTAGCTGGGAAAAAACCTTATCAAGGCCCAAATCCCTTGTTCCTTGATAAGAGAAAGAAGGGCGGCAGAGACCCACTTGGCCCATGTAAGAAACAAGCTTGGCTGGCTAAAGGGGTGTGCTAATGGGAGGTTCCAGTACCCAGAGGGGCTGTGGCCACTCCCCATCATCGGCAGGGTAGGAAATTGGAAATGAGCTGGAGTATGACACAAAGCCAGCCCTTCCTGAGACAGGAGACCCAGCCCTGGGAAGGAAGGAAGGGTGCATTGGCTCCATTCAGGAGATCTTGGAGGATGCTCATCGCTGAGGAGGCTGGGGTTCAGCCAGCTCAGGGCACTGCTCCGCGTGAGTGAGGGTTCTGCCACCGAGGCCCAGCTGTGACTCTGAATTCTCTCCTCTCCCCCCCATCCTCCTGGCCTTGTGCTCGGGCTCTGCTCGCCTGTTTGACCAACTAGGACATGACTACGGGGTTGAGCCAGAACCACCCTGTGCTGAATCCACCCCCCCACCCTCACCCCCCAACACCCAGGGAAAGCACAACTACGCAGACAGGCTGCTTCAACCAGGAAAGCTGCCACTTTACCTTTTTGCTTATTGAAAAACAGCAGCGGGGGCGCGATGCCAGGACCCCGGGGCCCAGGGCTCTCTGCGGCCTCGGGAGTTTCTTTGGAACTCGCTGCCTCTGCAGGTGTCTGCGGCACCACGGGCTCCTGGGGCGCGGGCGCTCCGTCTCCGTCTCCGGAGGGCAGCTCCTGGCCAGTTCGGGCGACCGCCGAGGGGAACTTAAGGAAGGGGCCCTGCTCGGCCAGGCCCGGCTGGCTGGGCGCGCGCTGCTCGGCCCGGGCCCCCGGCTCCTCCCGGATGGCATCCAGGGCGCCCGGCTTCATCGGGGGCGAGTCCTGCTCCCGCTTGGGGCTCTCCTCCGAGGCCGAGGACGCATCGCACGACTCGATGATGAGCTCACTGTCCAGCTCGGCCTCGCGCTCCTCCCTCAGGATGCTGTACTGGATGGACGGCGAGGCCGGCGAAGGTGGCGGGCCGCCCACGTGGCCGAAGGTCACGTAACCGGAGGCCAGCGCATCCTCAGCGGCCAGCGGGTCCTCGGACACCAGCTCGATCTCTGAGTCCCCTGACTCTGCACTGCTGGCCTCGTGGTCCAAGGGGCTGGGGATGGTGGGCCGCCCGGACCTGGCCTTGACCTCGGGCCTGTCGGCCACGTGGCCCGCCGGCTGCGGGCTCTCAGATGTTTCATAGGATAACCCCTTCGCTTCTTTAATGGCAGTGATCAGCTCATCCTCGGAGATGCTGCCTTTCCCCTGGGATTCTGCAGCAGATGGTTCTGTCGTCCCACAGAGCGAAGGAGAGCGGAAGAGGCGCGCACACACATGGACAGACAGATGGACAGGGAGAAGAAATAAAACAAAGTTTTATTATTGCTTGAGAAACACATAGCTTATTAGCACAAAAATATCTGTTTCTAGGGCTATGCTGGAAAGACAGGCCACCTGACCTAAAAGGCGAATGACCGTTAAGGCCCAATTAATCAGGGTTTCACACACCTATCTATCTCAACCTGGCTGTTTAAAAAGTGACCCAGCAACTTCCTAGCAGCAGCAGCACCTCGGTTGTTTTTCCTGTTTCCACATGACCCAGACTCTAGAAGTCATTGATTTTGGTATCTGATTAATTCTCCCAGGGAAGTTTTCCAATGTCACAGATTTCATTAGTTAACCTGGTGGACATAACCCTTTAATTTGGCCCACCGCTATCAACAGATCTGAAAACCACCCAGGATTCCTTGTCCACTGTTGTTTGTGTTCAGTTCTTGAAGCAAACAAAGAAAGCTGATTGAGATCCTAGGGTACAACTTGATCTCTGAGCTTTATATTTACCATAAGAAACAATCATTTTACTCTTTTTTAGTAAAAAGTGTAACTAGATTTTGCCCCTTCCAGAGAGCACAATCCCAGTGGGTTTCGAAGGGTGGAGCCCACCTCTACTCTTCGCCCTCTCTTCACCTCCTCATGAGAAGCACAGAACCCGAGAGTGCCCCGGCCCCCTGGTATGAATGCCTGGCTGCTACCTGGTGTCTATCCAGATGGGCTGAAAACCTTGGCAATCTTGCCTATATCTCTGTCCCTTCGGATCACCATGACAATAGTTTCAGGAACTTGGTTTTCCCTTGCCCTATAGCAGGATTTTCAGAATATCCTAGACCAGTGATGGTGAACCCATGACATGTCAGAGGTGACACGCGAACTCATTTTTGGTTGATTTTTCTTTGTTAAATGGCATTTAAATATATAAAATAAATATAAAAAATATGTCTTTATTTTACTATGGTTGCAAACATCAAAAAATTTCTATATGTGACACGGCACCAGAGTTAAGTTAGGGTTTTTCAAAATGCTGATACGCCGAGCTCAAAAGTTTCACCATCACTGTCCTAGACAGTGGCCTCTGGCCCTTCTAGGAGCAAGAACTACTTGGGAATGATGGCTAAGGGGTAATGGATTTTTTTTGGGGGGGGGGGGTAATGAAAATGCTCTAAAATTTATTATGGTGATAGATACACACTTCTGTGAATAGACAAAAAGCTATTAAAATGTAAATGGGCACATTGTATGCTATGTGGATTATATCTCAATAAAAAGAAAAAGAGATGGAAGGAGGCTTTTCCCCTGAATTAGCACTTATAGAACTGCCTGACCTATATTATACTGTACTATAAGTGAGAAGTAACTTTATATATGTTAAGCCACTGATTTGGGAATTTATCTGAATCTAAATGAATGCACCCCTTTAGTCTGGATTCTGCTCTAACTGCTTGCCTAAATTCACTGATCACGTTCAGATCATTTTTGAGTTCTGACCCATTAAGAGGATACTGCAATCCTTGAGGGAGGAATTATGACAACCTAATGAGTTGTGGTGGCCATAGGGATAGAAAAAACTGGACAATTAAAGAAACACTGAAGAGAGAAAAACCACAGACTCAGTGTCTGACTCATGTGGTGGGTGAGGAAAAAATGGGGTGTCAGAGATCACTCAGAAAAGGTGAACCTGGGTGAGTAAAATGAATAGGAATTACCTACCCAGAAACATGGAAGTCAGAACAGTGAGCTGTTTTGATGGCACAGAGGGAGAAAATTCTGATCTTAGACCTCTTCCCTTCCCGTGGCTCATACTAGTCCAGTTTCTCCCGTTGGAAGCCTCTGTCTGACCATCTAACCTGCAGGCTGACCAAACTCCAGCTTGTTCAACGTTCCTAGGAGACCTCAAAGCAGGTAGGCAGGGCCCTGGGTTACAAATGGCCCTGCAGGGCAGTTCATCCTGGGTGCAAGCCAGCCTGGGAATGGGTCCTTCAGGAAACAGGTTTGTGCTGGCTCATCCTGCACAACCGGAAGCCCCGGGTGGTTTGTATTTGTGTGATGATTTGATTAATGTCTGTCTCTTCACCTCCCCCAATCTCCCTGACCCCAAACTGAAAGCACCCACTGAGGGCAAAGGGCAGCCAAGGTATTTTTGTTCAAAATCAGATCTCCAGCACCTAGTGCAGTGCCTGGCACTCAGAAAGTACTGATAAATAGAGCTCATTTGAGGACTAGCTCAAATCTTTAGAACACTGGTTATTAATTAGGTGTAAGGCTCAAAACGGCCCTCAGAAATTCTGACTTGTAGAAGGAAGTCTGGGTGGGGTCCCCACATCTGCCTTTTGTAACCACTCACTACAAAAGTGATTCCAGTAGTCACCTCCAGTTAGGGTTGGCAGATTTCGCAAACAAAAATGCAAGACACCCAGTTAAATTTGAATATCAGCTAAAAAATGACTTTTTATTAATATAAGTGTGTCCCATGAAATTTGAGTTTTTATTTGGCAACCCTACCTACCTCCAATTGAAAACCACGTGTTAGAGCATTCAGAAAAGAAGGCTCAAGGATCTTGCTTCATTTACTCAAGAGTTGTTTTTTTTTATTGTTTAAGGTATTACAAATAGTAATACATATGTCTCCTTTTTTTCCCCATTGACTTCCCCCCTGCCTCCTTCCTTCCTCCCCCTTCCCCCCCCCCCCCCCCAGTGTCTTGCGTCTATTGGTTGTCCTTATATCAGTGGTTCTCAACCTGTGGGTCGCGACCCTTTCACAGGGGTTGCCTAAGACCATCGGAAAACACATATATAATTACATATTGTTTTGTGATTAATCACTATGCCTTAATTATGTTCAATTTGTAACAATGAAATTGGGGGTCACCACAACATGAGGAACTGTATTAAAGGGTCGCAGCATTAGAAAGGTTGAGAACCACTGGCTTATATGCATGTATACAAGTCCTTCGGTTGATCTCTTACTCAAGAGTAAGGATGTTATTAGACAACTGTGGGGTGTGGGAGGAAGGGGCCTGATGGGTTTCATCTTGGGCAAGTAAAGGTACTACTTTTAAAAGAATTCATCCTTCTTATGAGTCAAAAGGAACTAAATAGATCGTGTAGACATTGCCCTCCATTCTTTTTTTTTTTTTTTAATATATTTTTATCGATTAAAGAGAGAAACATCAATGACCAGGATCAAACCTCGACCTTCTGGTTCACAGGTTGACGCTCAACCACTGAGCCACGCAGGCTGGGCTGCCCTCCATTTTTAATGGCAACTAAAATTTAACAAAGTGCTGGGAGGAACCTGGGAAAATTTTAGACCAAAAGAGAAGTTTTCCTACTCTCATTTAAAACCTTATGGGAGTTTAGCTAAGATACTCGTTGTTATGTGTCAAGACTAACACAGCAAAGCTGGAAACAGTCAATAAAAATAATAAAATAGAATCTAGAAACTGAGGAGGTTAGAACCACCCTACCTGGGAAGATGTGTTTGCGGCTGCTGCTAATAAGGACGATATGATTAAGAAGGATAAAAGGAAACATGAACATGGCCAGTTTACCAAGTTGCAGTTGCCAGTGTCCAACTGTGAATGATGCTGCCATTTCGGTGTCCCCTTTGCTGCTGGCTGACTCTCCCCTCATCACTCAGAGGGATCCTCTGAAAACACGAGTCTAATCCTGCCGCTCTCACCTTCCTTCTCCCCACTCCAGCGACAGTGACTTTCCAGTGCAACTTGAACACACAGGACATTCCCAGCTGCAGCTTCTTCACTGGCTGTCCTTCCTCAGCTATCTACCTGGCTTGCCCCCTCATCCCATTCAGGTCTCTGCTCAAAGCCACCAGCAAAGCGAAGCCTTTCCTCACCTCACCACCTCCCCATCCCTCTCTTTCACTATATCTTGTTTTATTTTTCTTCATAACCATTGTAACTACCTAATGCTATATTATATATTCATTTACGTGTGCAAGTCTTCCCAACTAGAACGCAAGCTCCATGCAGGCAGCAATCTTGTGCTTCATCATAGACCCCCCAGTGCTGATGGTACAATGCCTGGAGTAAATGGTTAATGTATATTTGTTGAATGAATGATGGTACTTCCCAGCTTAAACCCTCCGATGGTTTCCCATTGCATTTGGAACAACATCCAAATTCCTTATCCTAGTACATGAAGCCGTGAATAATCTAGGCCCCGCCTACCTTTCCAACTCAGTTCTATTCCATACTTCTTCCTTACTCCTTTACACCGTCTTCCATAATTCAGCCTTGGGGCCTGTGCATTTGCTATCCTCCGTTCCTGGGCCCCTCTCTTTGAATTGTGGGGTCCTTCTCCTCATTCAGATCTCAGATCACATGTCGCATTCTCAGAGAGGCCATCCCTGACCCCTCACACCCAACACGCTATCATTCTTTATAGCACTCACACTCCATAAACACTACCTATTTATGTGTTTCTTTTTATTGTTTCCTCTCACTAGCAGGTAAATTCCATGAGCATAGGGATTCATAAATCTTGTACTGCAATTTGTCCGGTGTCCCGCACGTGTCTGACATAGAGAAGTCACTCAGTAAGTATTTTTTAAATAAAAGAATGAATTTTGAAAATGAGTAGGAGAATCACAGACCTCCTCAATGCAAGGAAATAGCAACAGTAATTTTCAAAGAGTTAAAATTAAAATTGGCCCTGGCCAGTTTTGCTCAGTGGATAGAGTGTTGCAGCCAGAGGACTGAAGGGTCCAGGGTTTGATTCCGGGCAAGGGCATGTGCCTCAGTTGCAGGCTCAATCCCCAACCATGGCCAGGGTGCATGCGGGAGGCACCTGATCGATGTGTCTTTCTCACATAGATGTTTCATGTTTCTTTCTCTCTGTCTCTCCCTCTCCTTTCCACTCTCTCTAAAAATCAATGGAAAAATATCCTTAGGTGAGGATTAACAAAGAAAAGAAAAGAAAATTAAAATTGATTTACCTTTTATTTCTCCTTTCTTTTTAAGGGAAGCTGGGTGCTTTAATGACGACCTCTGGATTATTGGCCTCTCTGAGGCTAATACCTCAAAGAAAATCCATGACCACCAAAACAAGCTCTAGGTGTGTGTGTCAAACAATATGGTGCCCATGGGTCAATGGGCTGGTGCATCAGGGAAATTATGATTTATCTAAAATGCCTCACTTGTACTTTTGACTGATATTTGCTGAGAAGAAACTTTCAATATTTAAAAATGTAAGAATTGTTGCCTCTGTACCTCAGTGTATAATTATTTAGCAAGATGAAAACAGTTATGCTGGAGGAAGTTACAAAAGGAAATAGTCTACTAGAATTGAAGAAAATATATTAGACTCCCTGCTTAAGCTTCAGGGTCTGTGACTGAAATTGTTCTAAATTAGAATTTCTCCTGATTCATGATTCACATAATTAGAAATATTCCCCAGAATTGGTGATTTTCTTATTTATTACACAATGATATAAACAGAACTTTTTTTGTTTAGAATGTTTTCCTTTCCCTCAATTTCTATGTAGGATCTTATGTAATTCTTGGTATTTGCCTTATCTGTTGGCACTGGAAATGGCAGAGTGACCCATGACCCAACAGATGTAATAAAGCCCAAATTGTCCAGTGTCTATGGGTAGAGTGGCATATGATGTCAGGGACTCACAAGTTGAGAAGGGGGTTAGGCTAAACTTTTGGGATAAAAAGAATAAGGAGAAAGGTCTCAATGACAAGCTGATTCCTTCTATCTCTTCTATTAATTTTATTCTTACCTGTTGTTTTATGACTCAGATATTATGATGTAGAGGATGGGTGAAGAGAGGAGCTGAACATGGGAGAGAGCTGTGCAATGGGATAAGGGACTTTCTCTTTCTTGAATAAACCTTGCTTAGGATGTTTATTTGGAGAAACTACAGAGAAAAACATTGCCCTAACCCCATGCCGTCAACTGGGCAACTCAAGATCATAAAACTCTAAGGTCATGTGAGCCATATCTGTTTTCGTTTTCTCTTGAAGTTTCTCCAGATGGTTATTAAAAAATGAAAATTCTATAATAATAACTAATGAACACTGATCAAGTCTTTATCACTAACTTTGTAAACTTCAATTTGTACATGAGGCATGTGCCATGTAAGTGGACTTATATGCACTGGGGTAGTTCACTCTTTCTTAAGGACTGGCTGAAGTTCTTCTAGACCGACCACCAAGCAACCCTGGAGCTCTGTAAAAGACAGCTAGTAATGTAGCTTCCATCTTCAGAGCATCCATATCTTTATCTCATGGAATAGGATTGTACGGTGCATTGCCAGAAAGACTACAAGGAGGCTTTGAGACCCAGTTATGTCCCTATCTCGTGTTGTAGGCTGAGGCAACTCACATCTAATACACTGAGGGCCTCAGCTTCCTTATTTGTCATCACAACCAAATCTTAATTTATATTTTATGGAAAATTCACTGTACCCTCATACCTCCTGTCCTTGTACCTTCTCTGATTAGAAGGCCGCCCCTCCCCTTTACCTGTTTATTTCCTCCTGCTCTTTTAAGAGTCACTGCAGGTGCCAGTTCACCGGGGGAGCTGTTGGACCCTGCTGCTCCTCAACACTCTATGTTTTCCTCTCTCAGAATACAAATCACACCAGAGTCTATTTTCTTGGTCAATTGCCCCACTAGAGGGCAGGCACCGATTTATGTTTGTTTTTTAAAATTCTGTCATCAGTACTTAGTAGAGTGACTGACCAAAAGAACATGTGTGCAAAGTGTTTGTTGAGTGAGTGAATAAATTTGAAAATCAGGGACTTGGCGCAGTGGATTTTTAAGACCCCCTGGAACTTTATAGTTGAATGAGTCTGAGGTAAGGTTGGGGAAGGGGAGGAATTGATGCTAAATCTTTAGGGAAATAGGATAGTAGGGACTTCCATTAAATCCACTTCGTTCTAACGCTTGGACTTACTGCAGTATCAGGGTGTAGAGCAATCATTCCTAATCCTGCGGTTTGGGATCCATTTTAAGAGTTCAGTGGAAGCTCATTCATCTGAGGTGCTGAAAATCACTTTTTATAAATCACTTTTTAGGTTTGTAAATCACTTTTGGGTAGGGTCAGAATGCCAGCCACTAGAAACAGGGAAAGATTCTAGGCCCTCAAACTGTCCTCTTCATCCTGATGCCTCATGGGCACCCACACACAAGATGGAGATACACATAGGATGGAAATGCATATATGATGGGAGATGCACGGGGTGAGGTGGGGGAGCTCCTGCTACCACTCTGGCCTTTTCCAGGTAGAGGTGTCCCCCTTTGTACTGAGAGTATGTATTAAGTGTGGTTTTAACACCCTGCCTGAGCCAGAGTAGAAAAACATTCAAGTTGAATAAAATCACAACCTAGGGGATTTCAAACTTTTAAAAATTCTATCCACTGCAGACCCGGGGTCCAGGGTTTGATTCTGGTCAAGAGCATATGCCCAGGTTGTGGGCTCAGTCCCCAGTGCAGGAGGCAGCCAATCAATGATTTCCTCACATCATTGATGTTTCTATCTCTCTCCTCCTTCCCCTTCCTTAGGATAAACTGAGAGCGGCAGTTTATTCTACTGAAATCAATAAAAATATTTTTTTAAAAAAAATTCTATCCAAATAAATCCTTTAGTTTAAAAAATAAAATTGTATGCAGATCTTCAATACATTAAAAGATAAAAATGACAGTGCTGAGATTTAAGGGGGAGGAGAGAAGTACTCTTTGGTAAGTTACCTCTCATTGTCCATGACCCCCCAAAAGAGTGAGGCTCACTCCCCACTCATTGTACAGACTTGGAGCTGGGGCCCTGCCCAAGTTAACCCAGCGGATCTCAGGGGAACAGCCAAGATGCTCACCACATGATGCCTCCAGGATGTCTGGGAGGAAAGCTGCCCTAGAAGTAGGTGGTACCTCCCTCTCTGCTGTGAACGGCAGACCCACAGGAGGATTTAATGTTCCCAGTGTGTCATTCTTTCCCCTCAATAGAAGAAAGAAACATTACAAAGCAAATCTGATAGGACTTTAACATCTATCTCAAATCTCAGCCTTTGTACGTGGGCACAAGACTGGAAAAGTTGGGTGTTAATTAAATAAGTAAAGTTGAGACTTGACTGCAATTCTTGATTCCTTAATATTCAGATTTCCATGTGCTGGGTCTTCCCAAGGTAGGGAATACAATTTCCTTACCTGTTCCGAAAGACGGAGGAGTGATGGATTCTGGGCTGTCATCTTCAGGCTCTGAGACGGTGACAGTAGGGACTGTGTCAGGACTCGGTTTCAGACAGATAGCTTGCTTCTCGGGGGTCTTCTCTTGGGTAGCAGCTCCAGCAGAAGGCTCAGTGTCAGTCAGCGTGATTTTGATGGGGGCAGTGACCAGGGAGGCTCGATGGTGCTCCTCAGAGAGGTCATCTATATAAGGAGCAAATGTTGATTCTTCAAATAAATGGTCCTTGAGGATCTTTCCCTCCACGGGAGCTGCTTTCTCTGGTTCACGGGCCTTTTCCGATTTTATTGCGATTTCAGTGTCCTTATTCTTAAAGTCAAAGTCTTTTTCTTCCAACTTGGGGTGATGTTGCTCCTGATAGCTCACCTCCTCGGGCCTGGTTATGTCAATGTACTTGTAAGCTTCTGCTTTCATCTGGTCCAGGGGGTCTGCTAAGATCTTGTTCACTTCGGTGGACTCTGCAGGAGTCATCTCTATTCCAGAATCAGAACTAAATAAGCCCCGAGGCTCCGTCCCAGGCACATCTGGTAAGGAGGGCCCAGAGGTACTCAGCTCCTCAGGGCTCTCTGATGTGGTGATGTGGCCATTTTCTTTCTGAAGAATTCCAGTGAAATATGTGGAATCCTCCTGAGGTGGGTAACAGATGTCGGAAATCAGAGATGTGTAGCACGCTCCTTCCCCATCCTTTGATGCTGTTGAAAAGGGATGATCCATGGCACGGGAGACATCTGCCACACCTAGGAACCAAAACAGCAGCAGACGGTGAGTGGGCACTGGGCTGCAATCTTCTCTCCTGCCTAACCCACCACCCACCCCTGCCCTGTGGAGACACAGCATCCTGTCTCCTCCACATCTCGGGGTTCCCTCTCAGCACCAGCATGTTCATTTCTCTTGTCTCCCTGAGAGCCCCCAGCACCGGTGTGTCCCCTGCAGCTGACTACAGAGGCTCACACAGCTGCCATGGCCAGAGAAGTTGGGGACAGATCCCAGAGGACCAGAAAGTTGCTTTTCAACATCAACTACCTCAATACACAGTGACTTGGTCTTACTTAGTATTATTCAACAGAAGCCCTCTTTGTATCTAAAGCATTTATGACTCTTTAAGCTGAGGTGGAAATGTAGGCTAATTCAGGTCTGAAAGTGCAACAATGGGATAGTCGACTGGGGAGAGGGGCTGCTGTTGGACTCAGAGCTGGAAGAGGCCCCAGGAGACCCTCTCTTTCACCCCTTCCTTTAGGGACTCCTGCCCCACCTGGATGGGTGCCATCCCTTCTCTTTTTAAAGGTCCTCAGAGAAAGGGACTCCTAGTTTTCCGATGGGCTCATCCCAAAGTGGTATCACCTTAATGGTGCTCTTCCTTATTTCTTCAGTTTTCTCATTTTGTTTCACTCTCATTCACTCATCTATTGCCCATTCTTCGCCTTCCAGTGATACTCACAACGCGCCCCCCCCACCGCCCCCCCGGGATTTCTTAGTTCCACTGGTGGTGCTAAGGACAAAACAGATTTCCAAGTTGGAGTCTAAAGAATGTTTTCACCTGCCCTTCATTCTACTCATAAACCAGCCAAAAGTTCATTAGTAGGCAGAAGAGGAAAACCCTCTATTAATTTTCTTGCCTGTGAAATGTGATAAGGAAGAAAACTAATAATGTTTATTGAGGTGTTGCTATATGCTAAGCAGTTGGATTTTACCTAATTCTTACAACTATTTTATAAATTAAGCCCCACACTCTCAACATAAAAGCACATCACACACACACACACACACACACACACACACACACACACACACACACAGACAAACACACGCAAAGAATATTCCAGATTAGGGCACCAACTCATAAAAGTAATAAAAGTAGTAGCTGTAATAAAATAGTAATAGCTAATATTTGAGTGTTTGCTGTGTGCCAGACATAATTCCAAGCTTTTTATTAATATTGACTCATTTAATAATCATAGTCATCTTAGGAGATTGGTACTATTAGCTTCATTTCACAGATGAGGAAACTGAGGAACAGAGAGGCTACGTACCTCACCTAAGATCGCACACATAGAAAGCAACACAGCCAGGATTCAAACCCCAGTAGTCTAGAAGTCAGGAAACTTCCCCTCATGCCCTGTGCACCTTCTTAAAATCAGTTTGTGACATTTATTTTTTTCCAGTGATTTTGAATCTAGTACTAGCATTATCACAAGTAAACTTAACTTTTGCATTTTCCTAGCTGTTTTCTTGGTTATACGAGTCATTGTTTGTCTAAGGCAGTGGTTCTCAACCTTCCTAATGCCACGACCCTTTAATACAGTTCCTCATGTTGTGGTGACCCCAACCATAAAATTATTTTCGTTGCTACTTCATAACTGTAATTTTGCTACTGTTAGGAATCATAATGTAAATATCTGATATGCAGAATGTATTTTCATTGTTACAAATTGAACATAATTAAAGCATAGTGATTAATCACAAAAACAATATGTAATTATATATGTGTTTTCAAATGGTCTTAGGCGACCCCTGTGAAAGGGTCGTTCAACCCCCAAAGAGGTCACAACCCACAGGTTGAGAACAGCTGGTCTAAGGGGAATGAAAAAAGCACAAAGCCTCTTCTCCATTCTAGCACTTTCCTGCCTCAGCACCTTGGCACTCGCTGATTTCTTTGTGTGGACCTCTCTCCCCCCAGATACCTGTATACCTAACCCCCTCATGCTGATCTTTGTCTAAGTCACCTTCATAAGGGAGATGACAATGTCCACTACCTAAAACCTGTCCTGCCTTCTCCACTCCGTGGCAACCCTGTTCCCTCCTACCCTTCTTTACTTTTTCTTCCTGTATCATTTGTCTCCTCCTAATATATTATATAACTAACTTATTTACCTATTACTTATGTATTGATTGTCTCTCCTTGCTAGGCATGCTCCATGAGGGCAGGAATCTTTGACTATTCTGTTTCACAGAATAGTTCAACACCTACACACACTAGGTACTCAATAAATATTTGTGAAATTTAAAAAGTGTGAATTTTAGAATTAAGCACAAGTAACAGGATTGTGTGAGAAGACAGGTTGGCAGATTCACCCAAATCCTAAGGATACTTACTTCACTCAGCAAGTGGCTTAATCTTGTAACCAGTTCAAAAGTGTACATTTCAGGGAAGCTTCTAATTGTACTTCCTTTGCACATGGCAGCCCCTTTTCAGTTTGGACCAAAAATAGCTCAATAGCAAAAGGAATAATATTAATGATGAGCCTTATTGGCTACCATATATAGACCACCAATGAAAAAGCTAATAAATTTAAATTCATATGTGCACGCACATCTTTATCCTAAAGAATTTTAAAAGCTTCTTTCATTATATGGGCTCAGCCTACATGTAGACCTCACTAGAGACAGAGAAATCAATCTTGAGATATTTCTTTTTTAAAAAATATATTTTTATTGATTTAGAGAGGAAAGGAGAGGGAGAGAGAGATAGAAACATCAATGATGAGAGAGAATCATTGATTGGCTGCCTCCTGCACATCCCCCACTGGGGATCGAGCCCACAACCCCAGCATGTGCCCTTGACCGGAATCAAACCCGGGACCCTTTGGTCCGCAGGCTGACACTCTATCCACTGAGCAAAACCAGCTAGGGCAATCCTGAGATATTTCATTACAGACATTTGGATCCTGGGATTCTCTACCCCAATTATCTGGAACCACTTCCACAGGTTAATAAGTAATTGTGGACCAGGAAGTAAGGAGGGTTTGCCCATGGATATACATTGTCTGGAGGTGTAGGGGTGGGGAAGGGGATGCTTTCCTGATAAATGCACAGTAGGTGGTATCCAGGGCTGCTCACAATCATTATCATTCACCTCTCACTCCATACAGAGTGAGAGGCCACCACCATGCAGAGGCCACCACCAGGCTCCTGGCCCTTATCACCTATGCCTGGCATAGTGCATAGCCCTCCAGCCCAACGTCTCCTGACACCAGTTATCACACTAAACACAACTCAGCGACTGGCCCCAGGGCTCTGCCTTGCTTCACCAGAGAATTCGTAAACTCTGCAGCCTGGCATTGGAGACGATGTGCATGCCATCTGGTCTCACAACTTTGTCTCCACTGGTCTTCACAATCTCACGCTCCACCAGCTTTTCAAATCCTGTCTTTCACTCTCCAATTCAAACTCGAAGCTCTGATTAATATAAACTCTCCATCACTTCTCGAACACTTTATCCTTCCAATCTTTACAGCAGAATCTCTGACCTCAAACCATAAAGTTAAGCAGCTTTAAGTGCCCCTCCTCCATGATGAGTTTGCTGATCACACCTGTCAGCGCTTGACCCCTTCCTATTGTTCCCCCTCTTCTTTCCTACAGGACCTAACTATACTGAGCATGTGGAATGCATGACATACGACTTCTCTATGTCCAAGTTATCTCCTAGTAACCTGTCAGCTCCTGGAGTTTGATGCTCATGGCTTGCTCACTATATTGTATTATAGGCACCCAATACAAAATAAATGAATGAATGAATGAATGAATGACCACTCAATCAATCAACAAATCAATCTGTTAACTTAAAAATATTCAAACTTGTTAAGAATTTTTTGTGAGTGTATTTGAGCCAAACTGTCAACAATTGCCGGGAAGCAGAATCTCAACATATTGGGATAATGCTCTGGAGAATGATGTTTTTTCACCTTGTTTTATACATTACAATTAAAGGAGGAGATGTAAGTGGGTTATATGAAATCCATTGGTGATAGATTAGGGAGGCGGGAGAAAGCAAAGCAGGCATGGGGTGGGATGGGGGGGTGGTTGGAAGGGAACCTCTGGGATTGGATAAAAAGTGAAATGATAGACACATGCTTCTTTTACTTAGATGGGTCCAGGATAGTTAACAGTCAACAATTAACACGATAACAATAACAATGAAGAAATTTATGGTCTCTGTCCTGGCCCACAGGCACATTTGGTTGTGCCCTGAGAGGTCCGGAAAAAGGGAAGTTACAAGTGACCTTGACATTTCACAGGTATGTTATCTTAGATGCAGAAAGGCAACAGGTGCAGTTAAAAGTTGACCTTTGTCAGGGAAGATATGGCTTAGGATATGACCACCCACTGTAAACTGCTTTTAGTTAAAGTTTTAATTTCAGACCATCCTCTGTGGTTACTTTAGGTCTTTGAGTTTGCAACACTGCAGGCCTTCCCTGAGCTTGTCAGGTTAGCAGGTGGCCTTTTTTCATTCACAAATTGATCAATCAATTTATTCTATGCAGCTACTGAGAACAAACTAAGACTAATAGATACAAGTTACAAAGAGGATGTGTTTAATATATCAAGTGAAAGAACAATCTAGAAAACCGAGTTATCCAACAGTGAGACAGGGCTGCATCTCAGAAACCAGAGTGCTCTGATCCTGGGGCAATCAGATAGAGGGGCCCAGCATCTGTGTAGGCAGGAACCAGCATTTGGTGAGAAGTTGGATGAAACAACCACAGAAGTCCCTTCCGACTTTCTATGATGTATGCACTGATTGGCTGCCACTGTAGTTGGACACGACTTCCTTTATTGCTTCCTTACTTGTAAAATAGAATCAATACAATTTTCCCTGAGGTGAAAATTATATAGGGATTTCCCAGATGTATGGTAACAGCTGAGGGCATAGACTCTAGCGTCCACCTACATTAAAGGAGAGACTATAAACAGAATCATCTTGGGAGGAGTTTCCACCCCTGAAATTCTTATCCTCTGT